TGGAACCTAGTATAGGGTATGGTAATTCTAACTCAATTTGATTGTTGGGAATTTTTAAAAAAAAAAAATACAATAAACTGACATATGATTTTGAAGAACCTCTTTCTTTGAAATACATGTTCTAATATTTAAGAATAATTCCACTGAAACATTGAATATTCTTTTCATTAACCTTGATGTTATCAATTAACATATTAAGGAGCATTGAATTAGAATAATCATCAACAAATAAATAAATGAAGATTTTTCACATTATGGTCGTTAATATCCTCTTACATGTATACAGGAAATGATCGGATTCAATTGATAAGAATATTTAGAACCCAGATTAGCGATGTGATAAAGATGAAGATCCTGTATTTCTTTTGTACAAAATATTTTTGACAACTGTGGTTTATCAAATGTATGGCGTGAGCGATCTTTTTATAATGTAAAATGGATATCTGCAACAGTCCGATAAAGGTTAAAAGATCAATACTTGAATAATCACAAGTAGAATAGGAATATCATGGATCATCAAAAAGTGTAAATTTTATAGAATTTTTAAAACCAATTTTCGTGTGAAAAATATTAATCCCTGTTACTGTATCATGTAAATTTGGGAAAATTCTTGTAAATTTAGAACAACAAATCACATACATTCCGAAGGAATAGTACGTACTTTAAAAAGAAATGAACGACTTTGTAATCTATGCGATAGAAAACAAATAGGATATGAATTACTGGGTATCACTTAGAATTTAATATTTTAGGATATTTGCGGAAAGAATTTTTGAAACAGAAATTTTGCTCTAAGCCAAACACGATCATAAAGTTTTGTGAAGTTATGTGCCCAAAAGATGCTAAGATTTAAATTTAAAAAAAAATGAGTACATTTATTAATTAGAATTAATTGTTTGACCTGTTCTCCCTCTAGCTAGATTTGATTCACACTTCTTTCTTGATTCATTTTTTTTTTGGTACCTCATATACCATTTACATGGTTTTGGGCGAATAAACTGAAATGACCCCTGTTTGCTTTTATTTCTGTTGTTCTCTTGAAATATAGCCCTCTTAGAAATTTCTCTCTCTTTTTTACATTGACGGAAAACGCATTTTTGGATCTCAACAAATCTCAAATTTTGACAAGTTAATTGATCTTTATTGACAAAAAAAAATGATGTATTTTTAATAACTATAAATCAAAAAACTATTTTTCTTCGAAAAATCAAGACAATTTAAGAGCATTTCAAAAACAACATTTAAGAACTCTTTCTGATGCAATTTGCTTAAACATGACGGGGTTATTAAAAAATCTGAACACTCATTTCATTTAATTTGCTGTCCATTCTCTTTGCTAGCTAAGTGTTTTTGATCCGCTTATTTTCTAACGCCCCTTTTTTAAATAAAAATTAATATTGAAATTCGTGTAAATGAGTTTTTAACATTTCACCTTCATAAAATCATCTACATGTACTTATTATCTCAGGTTTTAATTCAAGGCAAAATCAACGCCGCCATATAATCTCAAGGATAGTCAAAAACTGCTTTGGTGAAGGACACCGGTAGTAAATCGTAATCCAGAGCATTTGAAGAAGACAGTTATATTATAAAACAGAACTAAATTAATATGAAAAACCCTGAGCATTGTTTAAAATTGTTTTGTGGAAGGTCGCGTCCCACTTTCTCTATGAATAGTTCAGGAGTGTAATTTGCTGTTGCATACTCTTCTTGAGATTCACTGGCGTGCTCACTATTTCTATTTTAAAAACTTGAAAACCTATACAATTTACAGTTTAAAGTGGCTTATCACTTGGTATTATATGCAACTCCATTAATTATTTGTCGATAAATGATGAGATCTAATCAACAAATTATACCTTTAAAGAACTGTAATAACAATTGTCTTCATAACTCTATATGGTTACTGACAACCAGATACATGTACTTGTCTAATGAACAATACAACAGATAATGGGAAAAAATGAGACAATTCAAAAAAATTTAAAAAAAAAAAAACAAAACAAAACAAAACAAAAAACCTTGGAAATTAGCTTTTTTGCCAAAAAAAAAAAAGGGGGTTCACCTCATTCAGTCTTGAGTATAAAAGGGTGCTTGCTCATAGTCGTTTTGATTCGAGTACTTTAAAACTTATCTACATATAATTTTGCCTAGAATAAGCGGGATATACGAGTATAAACAAAGAAAGAAAGACGTTCTTTTGTCAATACTTTATGTTATTCATATTATTCATAAAAATTGTAATTAAAATATTGTATTACCGATCTATATGTTACATTGATGGAAGAGCAAAGAAAGAGTTGAAGTTTAACACTCTTTGACAAAACATTCATACACACAGATTAAAAAAAACGCATCTAGCTTGTTTAAAGTAATTTGTGTTTAGAGTCAGATACACACTCTCGCTTTTAATAAGAAATAAAGTAGACAATATTCAACTGATGTAAATTTCCATTTGTGAGATCAATGCTATTTACTATACGTACAGGTCGAATTTTCTGTCAGCTTTCTTGGAAAAAGTAAGCTTTCCATATCGTCAAAAGCAGAAAAATTTAAGTTTTAGCAATTTGGCCAATTTTACTGTTGCTCGCTATTTATCTCTAGAGAGGAACTTTAGTGTTTCAAACAATGATTATAGATTTTTTTTAATGGTCACTTATTTTAAAAGGGCCAAAATTTAGGGAACCCCGATCTTTCAAATGGAATAATAATTTCATAAATATTATGAATTCTGTTGAAGATTACGCCAGGCGATGGGTAAGACATGAAAATGAAGACCTTGAGAATCAGAGTGGATTACATGTACTAGTAATTGAATCTGTATCAGATGTATGTTAAAATCTCGCATTAAGCAGTTGAGGGGCAAATAATATGATAACCATCTATCCTTCTTTGTTTATCAATTCAGAATTGAAGAAAGAATAAGATAGACTACACTATCAGTATGTACAGTACTGGTCCAAGGTGACAAAGCAGGTAACAACATTGTTTGTAAGGCTCATTATTTTAATTGTATTTTAGAAGAACTAAGATTAATTCTACAAGTGACAATCCAACTTATACCTATAGCTCCTATTCTAAGGAGAAAATTCTTCAAAATCATATGTCAGTTTTTTTGTTATTTTTAATATTCCCAATAACCAAAATGAATTAGAATTACCATTTTTATATTGGATTCCGAAACTTCATAAAAATCCTTACAAACAATTAAAGATACAGTACATAGCGAGTTCGAGTAAATGTTCTACCAAGCCTCTTTCTTTACTCTTCACTAAAATATTAACAGCAGTGAAGAAGAAACTTCAGAAGTACTGTGCAACAATATATTCGAGAAGTGGTGTAAATCAGATGTGGATGCTTAAAAATTCCAAGGAACTTTTGGAAAATTTGAAATCACAAAATTTCACCAAAATCAATTTACGACTTTTCAACTATGCATACGACCATTTCCCACGATAAATTAAAGTCCAGGCTTTTTGACATCATTGACAGCTGCTCTTTCAATAAAAATGGATTTCGTAAATTTACTTACCTTGTCATGGGTCATTTGCAAAATTGTTTTGTTAAAAAAACATTCTGATTCTATACACAAGTATCTGAAGTTGGTATTTTAAAAAAGATGTTCAAGTTTCTGATTGACAATATCTATGTGGTTTTTGGAGACCAGGTCTTCCAACAATCAATTGGAATTCCCATGGGTACCAATTGCGCCCCGTTGTTAGCAGACCTATTTTTATATTCATATGAAGCAGAATTTATTTAAAATTGTATACATGAGAAAAAGAAAAATCTTGTTGTGGCCTTCAACTCGACATTTAGATATATCGACGACGTATTATCAATAGTTTTTCCATCCATATGCCGACACGATATATATGATCCCAGTGAGCTTGAAATAAAACATACCACAGAGTCTGACACATATGTTTCATATTTGGATATTTTACTAGAAAAAGACGTTTATGGTAATATAACAACAAAGCTTTATGATAAACGTGATGACTTTAACTTTTCAATCGTCTACTTCCCTTACTTATGCAGCAATTTACCATTATCACTGCATATGGGGTGTATATCTCTCAGTTGATTCGATACGCAAGAGCATGCTCTACGTATGAACAATTTCTAAAATGAGGTAAGTTATTGACAAACAAGTTGATGAAACAAGAATATCAACAGTCTCGTTTAAAGTCAGCATTTCGCAAGTTCTATGGTCAATACAATGACTATGTCAGCAAATACAATCTATCATTAAGTCATATATATGCTGACTGACGTTTTTCATACTAATTCTTAGGCGATTATTTACACACTAAATTGTCGACGGATTTTTTCGTTATTTCCCGATCATGACAAGGAGCACATGGCAGGTGTGACAGGCAGGGGATGCTCACTTTGAGCTTGTATACTGTTCGTTATCTCCATATTTCATTGCACTAAACATTTATTCTTAAAATATTGAATGTATTAAAATCTAACTTATTTTTGAGTTCCTCAAAGCACGAATGCCTTCATAATTTTATATTAAAAACGAACAGGTCTATACAGAAATCTTAATAAATGATTTGTTGTTTTGTGGGTTTATTATGTTCTCAAATGCTCCAAATATGTGATCTGTATTTCCGCCTCCCCCCCCCCCAAAAAAAAATCACACACACACACAAAGAGAGAGAAAGAAACCATATGGATACTAGTATTTAGTTTCATTCTATATACAAGATGATGACGTATTAATAGACAATTGATACACGAAAAATCAAAACGGATTAAAACTGAAATTACGTTTATGTCTAAAAAATCTACTAGCTTCTAGATCCTTCATCCTGGATTGGGGGCCAAGGGATTGTAAAAGCGGTTCACCGTAAAAGCTGTACCGTACAGGCGATCCCAAGCTATGCGCATGTTAGGAGTTTATCGACAACTAACATTTTGTTTGCTTGTGTTGCAATATCTAAGGCTATCTATAGAAACCAATCTATGTATCATTATTGACTGTTTTATTGTATTCAATTCAAATAAATATTGTAACAAATGTAATAAATATGCAAGCCCAAGAACTCCGGGAATACCAAGTAAAGCTTTCATGTTAAAGTGCATTATAAACACTAATTCTATTTCCTATCAAGAAATACGATGTAGACACGATCAAATATTGTTATAACAATATATATTATAATATATATTATTCTATACATATATATTAATGTCATAGCATTACTTTTTTCAAAGTAACTGAGAGATTTTACAAGGAAAACAACAGATCTGAACATATATAGTTATCTGCATAATACTAAAAACATGCATCAGCAATTTCCCCTCATGTATACCATTTTCTTTCAACTGAGATCATTTAATAATTAGGAAACAGTTAAAACATGCATTACGACATGTAGATATTTGCATTCAAAGTACTGCAGAATTATTGTTCATTTACAGACAACTGGACAGACGTCGGGTACCTTACATCGCATAAGCAGAGCCATGGAGCTAAAACTCTGGAAACTCTCTGTTCCGAAGAATAGTTTCATACGTTCCTCAGTCAAACATCTGTACTTTTCTCACCCCTTTACAAGGTACTAATTTTATAATCCCTGAATCATCATTGTTATTTATTTTTTAACATTCATCACCTCCTTAGGTATTGTTCCTTTTGCGCTCGTGTCCTTCTTTGGTACATGTAAAACAGCGCGCCACAGACCATTACTGGAAGAATAAGCACGAAAACAATTTCGCTATAGGTCCATGGCTGTTCTGGAAAATGATAAATAACTTCTACTTCCTCTTTCGTGGTGAAGCGAGGGATTGATAACTTGTCTATATGAGATGAAAACTGGAAAACTCTATTTACGACAATACTGAAGGCAGATTGCACAAACCAATGACATCCTGTCATTTTTGGTCGTTCCCAGTGAAAACACTCTGAATTCTTAGCACCTCTGGGAGATATGCAATTTGCATTAAGGGCACACTTCAACCATGGTTTCATAATACCAAGCCATGTCATGTTTGTTCTGTACAGAACTATTGTGCTTGTGTCCATCATTCCATATTCTGCAAACGTGCATCTTTTTTCACCAAAAAATTCAAACATTTGTGGATGTGTATAGGCCACAATTGAATTAAAAATTTCTTCCTCCCACAAGAAAAAATCGTGTGATCCTCGGAATCTGAGCATGCCCAGATCTCGGACTTCTTTGAACTTTACTGAAGGGTCAATCCACATCACGGATCCAAACTCCTCAAGGATTGTCTACCAATATATATACATACATATACATATACATTCATGAAAAATCAGATGTAAAAAAAAATATCAATTAAGCTCATCTAAAATTGTTTTGCGAATTTAGCAATATTGATCTGGTCTGTAACTTTGCATAAATTGCACTGTTTTTTGTTCTAAATAATTTCATTATACTATAAAGATTCCGACTTAAGCGTAAGATGTTTCATGATCCCATGATTTCATGAGGCCTGTATATATAGAATTTAACTCAAGTTTAGTTTGATCCGACAGCAAGTTTCATTTATTCGTCGTCGAATGCATCGCATTTTAAATCGTGATTAAAAAACTGCTCACGATATCTCAATTTTTATGCTAAAAATTAATGAGAATTGTTTTTTCTCATTCTTGAGTCCTTTTTAACATTATTCAACCATGCAGTCAACTAAAATCACATTGTCAAAAATAAGCAATTAAGATTACAGACGATACAATGATATAATCGAATTACAGAGTAATTAATTTTTACCTGCATTATAATAGGTTGATATGCTTTATTCGAGTAAATGGCCACGTGATCTGGGTAATGTCCAACATCAAATGACCTCACATCGCAGTTACAATGCTTCTTCATCTGTGCATGTAAGAAATAACAAAATGAGAGTTTTTTTTTCAAATCAAGATGTGCAATTACATATGGTATCTTAAATATCATACTCACAATTTCTTTTTCATTTTTGTACATTCCTAGATCGTAAATGATCAGCTTTATTAGAAATTTGCCGCTCTTGTTTACATCTTCGATGTCCCGGATGAGACCCTGAACTTGGAAGAACTCGGCAGACGATACCGCTGTAACTACTGGGGGAATGTTTGGTAATTCCCGTGGCGATGGTGTTCCAGCAAATGTATCTCCATACATCTGAGAACCTATTCTCTTAAGGTAAGGTCCAGCATCCCCTTTCGAGTAGTTTTCAGCAATTTTTAAATTCTCCTCCAAGGAATTTTTCAGATGAACATCGCATGTTCCTACCAAATCTGAGTCCAGCGAACGATATGTACCAAAGTAGAGGAGACATTTATAGGCGGCTAATCCAATAAATACCCAAAGAACAAACGATCCAAGAACTGTGTAGGGACTGAGGGGGAAAGCTCGAGGACCAAGGGCTCCCGGAGCGGAGGAGAAAACTGATTGTCCTTTCACATTCTTCTGTTTATTGTGGAACGGAAGAGCTGATTTTTTAGATTTTGGCATCTGAAAAGAAAAAAGAAAAAAACATGGTGAAAAGAACTGAAAATCGTTCTATGGTGTGTTTTTTTTCCTAGCAAAAGGGGAAAGCTTATATTCTCATGTGTGTATGAAATATCATCAAAACACAAAATTAGGAAATCATTGTTTAATTGCAATGTTAAAAACGTCACAACAGAATTTTTTAAGAAGTTTTTTTTTAATGCACATGTACTTGACAAATGCAGCACAAAAAGGTCTGCTACAAGACATATTTCGGTAGGCAATTTTAATAAATTTATTAACTGCAGACATTCTTTAAAATGCGGTTTATGATAAAGTTTCCATAGATATTGTACATACATGAATTTGTGAAAGTTTAGTTGTAACACTTTGCGGTAGTATATGTTGTCATGCATATATGTGTGTGAACTACAAAACATGCATCTGCATTTTCACACGGAAATTGCAATTTGCTCAAACTGTCTAAAGCAACTCTGTAGTTCATATAAGTTTTTGGATTCATTTGATAAATGGTAAAGATGCAAATTAAGATTTGACGAATAAATAAAAACATAAGTAACATTAGATTTGGTGAAGAGACGAGGCATTTACATGTAAGCCTCAAATATTGTAATGTGTTCAAATATGTTCAAAACAAAATCAGGTACGTTCACAAATGTTATTTTACAATGTTATTTGACTAACCCTCGCAATTTTCGTAAGGAAGCGATTAGTCTCTTAATTGATCTGTAAACAAAAATATAAAATTGAAAAAATAAATAAACAATTACAACTTCAAAGATTGAACTCGGTCATGTTTCTGAAAGGAAATGGATAGTTAAAACTTGCATTGTAAGTTATCAACCCTTCCTTTCAACTGCTTATGGTTTTCTGACGAAATTCATTGGTAACTGAACACACAATTATATCTCTCAAACAGGACAAAAACACCATAACATTGTACATAACAACACAAAAAAATAATTTATGACAGAAGTTCAAAACACGCGGAAATAATCCAATAAAGCAAGTAAATTGGTCACAACAGGTAATATAAACTAGTGCTAGATTGGCCAACGGCTGCAATCAAGTCTCCATTTTCGAGTGAACAATAGGCTAGACATTATAACCCACTGTTTCCTGGGCTTACCCAAGACTTATTTAAACTGAAGAATTTTTTATGATATATTATAGCTTCCAATGAGTCACAAAATTCTACATTTTGAGTCAGAACCTGTTAATGGCTCTGTCCTGCGACAAGACAGACCAACATTCTTTACAATCGTGCATAGGACGTACAATGATTTTTTCCCATATTTTTTTTTTTTAGTTCCGGGTTGTATCGATGATGTTCTAAGACCCAGCTTATACCTTAGTTTGGTTACGAACACCAGGATATGTCGTACATGCATCCTTGTCCAATATACAATTGAGTAGTTCTGTCCACGATGTTCAGAATCTAAATTTACCCCATAAGTAAAAATATTCTGCATATTTCATAATTGGACCTAATGTACTTAATTAATGACATTATTCGATATAAAGCTGCACAGGATATCACAAAGCCTCTTCGGGAACTATATGTAGTATGCAGTGTCAATTTCAAAACTGTCCATGAAATCCTGGTGCAAATATTATAAATACCTTTGTACGTGCATTCATTTTCTTGAAATTTATAGATTTAATTCTTACCCTAGCACTTGTAATGTTCTCGGTGAAGTGTAGAAATGGGGGTACAAGTAAAAACACGTGTATACACGACCATAGTGGTTCCGGTCAGTGACTATGACAACAAAGAAACAAAAATACCCCGTGTCGCGGTTGAGTGAATTCTGCCGTACAAAGAGCAGTAACTCTGGTTGTTTTCAAGTGCACACTACGAAAGCGTATAGCCATATATAGCAGTATATTTGTTAAAACAAATTATCAATTTGTTAAAACAAATTAGTAACATGTTATAACAAATTAGTAATTTGTTATAAAAAATTACATGTAGTAATTTGTTATAACAAATTATCAATTTGATATAACAAATTATTAATCATTGTTATAACAAATTGATAATTTGTTCAACAAATTAGTAATTTGATATAATATATTAGTAATCTGTTATAACAAATTAATAATTTGATTAAACAAATTAGTAATTTGATATAAGAAATTATTAATATGTTATAACAAATAACTATTTTTTGATAAAATTTGAAGGTGCATGTCAGATCAGAAAATCTTATTTTAAGTCGGATTTGTGAAAACATGTTAAACATAAGCTCTGTTGAGCTTTTGACCGACATGTTAATTTGGAGTAAGATGTTTTAACATTGAATTTTCACTGTTAAACATCAATGTAATAGGGGGTAGTGGATATTTTATCCACCTCCTAACCGTTTATAGTCGTCTCTACAGACCAATAAACTCGTTATGCCATCCGACAACAAATTCACAACAAGCGAGTTTATTGGTCTGTAGAGATGACTATAAACGGTTAAGAGGTGGATAAAATATACAGATTGGTTAATGTTATAGAATATGTCTTGCATTAGGGGATGAAAGGTCATTGATTGACCATTGCTGGAAAGTGACGAAATACATCCCCAAAGTGGGCAGAAATCTTGCGCCGTAAATTGCACTTTATTTACAATTACGAGATCTGTAGCGTTATGGTCAAAGAATAACATATAAAACCATAACGCTATGTACAGTTCTGCAGCTACAATTTGAGGGTCTTGTTTTGACTTCGTCATCCGCACATTCGTTGGGCAAAATGGCAGAATAAATTTACTTGTACCGTTTAGAAAAATATTTTACATATTGATGAGAATATTGGGTGGTGTGTTAGCGATTTTGTCTAGTGTATAATTCTCAAATATATCCAATGTAAAATCACAGAAACTTTTGAGTGTTGTGACTGCTGGATCCACAAACATCAGTCATGTCCTCCCGTCATCGGTCGCTTCGACTCCTAACCTGGAACGTCCTCAGGGGGAGAGTCAGCAGTGCACGATTGGCTAAATCACTATACTAGTCTGTAGATGATTTCCAGCTCCGATCTGCTCTTTTTTTCCATCTTTTCGGCTGCATTTGACTGTCTTCGCATTCCTATTCTTCCTTTCCTGTGATTCCCACGGCTGCCATGGTCTCTCCAGGTAGACTGTGCTGGGAATCACCCACAGCCAATATCCACAAGAAATTGCCATGTGCTCCATCCTTTGCTGCGTATTTCACAGATCCTGGTATTTTTTCTTTCTCTCGTAAGCCTCCCCGCATCTTTCTTCCAGGTTCAGTTAGTTCCACCATTACGATCTTCCTGCTCCATGTTATAAACCGTAATAAGATGTCGGGGCAAGAGGTTTGTCTAGTTTATATAATGTCTGGGAATACCCGTCATTGCCCAGGGTTTTCCTGCATCCCCCTGGAAGCTGGGGAGTGAAGGATGGATTTCTGGGGTTTATTGTGTGCTAATGTTTCACCTTCTTTAACAAGGTTAAATGAATTGTTTTTCTTTGTTCTGTCCCCTCATTTTAGTCCGTTCCTTTTCTAGGATATCTGCTAGCTCTCAGTACGCGGTCATGTAAAAAGTCACATTTTTCTTTTCTTTCAAAGATTTTGTTGCTAGCAATTTTGATTAAACATAAAAAGTTGGGTTTTTTCCCTTAAGAAGCTAGTGCTTATAGTCAGGAACAGTCCTGTTCTCTCCAAACTTTAGAGTAAAACACCTAAGTCTTTCGATCTAAATTATATGTCTTTTACATAGATTACTGAATTGTGCGGTAAAGATTTTTTTTTAATTCCTTATTCAAAGTTACTTAAATTATCTCACGTTCATGGAAATAAGCTACAAAAGAAAAACCTGTACGTATCTTTTTTATTTTCACTTTTAAAAATGTACAGGTTTTACTAGTTTTTTGTTGAGATATATTTTTATCTCGTTGAGCAGTATAACCTTGGGGGGGGGGGGGGGTTCATACCAGTGAGAAAAAATAAGACCTGAAACTACATGTATAGATCAATATTCTTTAAAGCGATATATTTCATGTATATTAAGCTCGTGTTGCCTTCCCTTTTTATTTATTAAAATTAATTTTCTCAATTTTAAGTGTATGGAGAAAATATTTGTATTTAATACTTTTAAACTTTATATATCTAGTGTATCATTACACGAGGTTTTTATATACATTCTACATTAGAAATTCGCCGCTAAAGGAACAGATTTGGGAAAGAAATCCTTTTTTTTCAATCTTGGATTTTTTGTTGATTCTCCCCTATTTCCTCGGCTTTTCAGCTCTGCACGCGAGTTAGCCTCATCAGTTTTCGAAATGCACCCTCCGTTTTTAAAATTACCAAATTTTAAGTTAACTTAATTTAATTTCATTTATTGGCAAAAATCACATATGGCGCAAGTCATACATACAGTATACAAATAAAGTCACATAGATTTTCTTATGTTGAATGCATCATATATGAAGTTACAAATATTTCTTGTTGATTTAACATAGATCTGCTCTATCTGTAATTTGTGGGCACTTATTCTTTACCAAGTCAAAAAAGAACGAATTAAGGTTCTTGGAAATGGAAAAATTTAAGTATAGTTGAATTTCAAGCTTCTTTAGATTTTGTGAACTTATTTTAAAAAATATCCCCTAAAATAATTAAATAAATAATAAACAAATAGAATTATTATATATATAAAAAAAATCCTTTCAATTTTTTTTAAATTTCAAATGACTGTGATATTCGTTAGCAAGCTTCAGGAAAAACAGGCAGTGGCATTTAACTGTCGCAACTTTAGGCTATGAAGGCAATATAAATATTACAAAAGAAGTGTATTACAGGACCATAGATTCTTTTTTAAGATTCAACATTTCAAGAAATCAGGGATCAATTTTAGGTTTAAATACAATAGCGGCGCGGATCAAGAGAAGGTAAGCCGGTGCAAGTATGTAGGTCAGATAAAAGATGGCGCTGCGCTCGAAAAGAAAATTGTCAACAGAGGCCGCCATCTTGAACGACGCACTTAAGAACGGGACCACGGCGGGTAGCTTGAATATATGGCTTATTTAGAAAGGTTTTACCACGACAGGTGATAAAAAACATATAAAACATGAGTCAGTACATTCAGGTGGCCGAGGAAGAGGGGGAGGAGCCGATGGAAGTACCTAGTGAAGAGGACGGCACTCTACTGCTGTCAACACTGTCTGCTCAGTTCCCCGGAGCTTGTGGGTTAAAATATCGCAACCCTGACACGGGTTCTATGCGAGGAATACGACTGGCAGACGGTCGACTGTATCCGCCGGATGTGGACTGGTCAAATAGGATTTATGTTGCTGTGTTTCCCAAGAGTAAGTGGTCGAATATTGGACTTAGAATTTCGTGCAATACCCGACGCGGAGCAGACGCTACGAATTTATTTCCTGATATGTGACTGAAAGTTTACTCTACCATAGAAGTTTCCTCTGTTTTTTGATAGCTTGACTATTGATATTTAAGGTTGCATACATTAGACATCTCCAAACACAATTCTTAACACCGAAAATTGTTAACAAAATTAGGTTATGCCAGAGTTGGTATTTGACAGGTAGGGGCAGATAACTCTAGGCATTTTCAAATCTGACCAATGTTTGCATTGTAAAATAGATTGGTGCCCATGAGTTTAATACTGCTATAGAAGACTTAATTATATAGTAGTTTATCTGTTTTTCTTGATTTTTTGTTAATTTGTTTAATTTCTATTTTGATTTACAAAAATACTTTCATTGTAGACTATTAAGTGAAGTCATACACTTAATGATTTAAATTTGTTGAACCGAATGAAAGAATCTTTAAACTAATTCAGAAGTAATTTAAATCTTTGTTTATGTATTTGATGCATACAAGAAACATTAAAATCTCATTTTTGTGTGTTTTACGTACTGTTTGTAAATATTTAAAGCTGAAAACAAGAAGAAATCAGGAAGTACGGCATCAGGAAGTAATGCCTCTACCAGTAGTCCTGATGAACAAGATGGGGGACATTACAAGTCCAAAAAGTATGAGAGACAGCGCTGCAGTGACCTCATTGTGCTCGGACTTCCATGGAAAAGCACTGAAGAAGATTTGCGAAAATATTTTTCACAATTTGGGGAACTCCTGATGGTTCAGGTATGCCATCTCTGCTTGCCTTTATTTTATAACTTTCTCCAAGGTGATTCTGTATTATAAAGTATTTAGATGAAGTGGAACAAAATGTTATTCTTAAATGGTGGAGTTCCTTGCTTAATTAACTCTACCTTAAAAATCAATTTCATCCATATGCTGCTTACATTTTGTTTATATATCCGTATATTTTATCATTTTCATTGATATTACCTATCTGACAATATTCTTTAATAAAAAAGAATTAGTGGGTAAAGGAATATTTCTGATCACTCTGTCATGTTTTGATTGGTATGCAAATATTGTAGTAATTATATATAAAAGATTTATGTGTATGAGGGTAAAGTTTGAGCTGTGCACTGCTAAATTCATTTATCATTTAGATCTATTTAGTAGTTAAAACATATTCATCACTGTGCAATACAAGTGATGTCACAATACTCCATAAATTCAAAAATGCATATAAAACAGGAAATAACATTTTCGTAAAGTTTAAAAGTTCATTAATTTGATTTCTTTGAAATAAATATGTAATACAGTTTATGGATAAAATTTCTTGACTTGAGAGTTTTAAAGTTATCCAAAAATCGGTTAATTTTAGATTTCAAAGGAGAGAAAAAGTTGTATACGTGCATGAAACATTCATAAAAGACTTTATGTGAACTCACATAAATATTTGAAAAACATCATGTACATGTAATATACTTTGGAAAATTTAACTAGAATGCATATACAGTACTTTTTTCAATTATAATATTCTGACAGTGTGATGTTACATTAATTGAAACAAATTTTATGGTATGTTGAATTTTTCCAAAAATTTCAATTTGCTGTTCACCTTTAAACAAGACATTAAACATCAGACATTAAACAAACAAACAAACATTATTTTTGAATTCACCCTTAGGCCAAAAAAAATAATAGTCTTGTTTCCTGCTACCAGCCTGAAAAAAAAATAGGGTAGATAGGTACGAAAATTATTTTATTTTATATTTTTATTTTATTTTTTTCCGACAGCATTTTTTGGATATGAACTAATATAAGATCAAATTAAACATGTACAGGTCAATATTGTCTTTTTAAAATTAAATTTCATGTCTTTTTATGCACAACTCAAGTGGTATTTTATGAAAGTCCATATTTAAAACAAGAATTTCATGAAATGCTTGTTTTGTGTTAACACGGAATCCGATTCCGGTGACAGAACGATGAAATTCCGGAAATTATTGATTTTTTTTTCTTCCAAAACTTAAAAAAAACTTTAGGGTAGTGTGCAAAAAAAATAGGGTAGGTCGGATAGCAGGAAACAAGACTATTATTTTTTTTGGCCTTATCTGAATTGATGCTTATAGTAATTGAAGTACATAGACTATTATAAACCATACACTTATTTAGTGCATCTTCCTTAACATGATATTATTATTTATTTACAAAGCTACACTTTAACGATGTATATTGTGTGGTTATGTATTTATATTTTTATGAAAATTTTCAGGAAGTCGGTAAAAATATATATATATATAAATACATGCACATAGTATTTAAGTGCATGGTCATGTAAATGTATATCATTTTAGGTCTATTCCATATTGATCTCAAAGAGATGGAGTAATTTTCAATCTTTACAGGTTAAAGTTGACCCAAAGACTCGGCAGTCTAAAGGCTTTGGGTTTATACGATTTGCTGATTATGACTCCCAATTCAAATGTATGTCACAACGTCATATGATTGATGGTAGATGGTGTGATGTCCGTATTCCAAACTCAAAGGTAAGCTGACATATAGTTATATAATTATTACTTAAAAACAATAAAATGCTTTCTTTGGTTTTTAGTATGGGAATTAATGTTGCAACTGTTGCAGAAAAAAATATGTGACCTCCGTAAGCATGATACCCGGTATGTGAATTTTTTCTGCAATAGCTGCTACATTAATTCCCATACTAACAAACTTAGACATTTTTTTTAATAAGGATATCTGTTTAAATACTTGATATTAAGTAGAATTAAGTACGTTAAATATTGTATTATTGGTAGTATGTAATTGTTTGTTTCATTGATGGAAGACCCACTGCTTAAGAAATCTATACAGGTGGCTGGCTTAGCCGTATTTACTGATTGATAAAGGACTGATTTTCATAAAAAATAAAGGAGATAATTTTTAGTGGATGTAAATGTATGTAAGATCGATGAAAATGATAAGTACTGATGCATATTTACTTAAAGTACCCATTGTATGATATTTCAGAATGCTCTGACCTAATTTGGAGAAATATTTTGTAAAAGTAAAAAATTGTATAACTACTATGCTATTTTATTAAAAATTTGCCTATAGGAAGGAGCCCAACAAATCATGAATAGAAAAGTGTTTGTGGGAAGATGTACAGAGGATATGACTGCAGAAGATTTGCGAAATTATTTTGGCAAATATGGAGAGGTGGTTGACGTCTTTATTCCTAAGCCGTTCCGAGCTTTTGCATTTGTTACTTTTGCTGACCCAGAGGTGTCACAGAATTTGTGTGGAGAGGATCACATCATTAAGGGTGCAAGTGTTCACATCAGCAGTGCTGCACCAAAGAACTATGACCGTCACAATGACAAAAAATCAACCAGCCCCCACCAGCTCGGCTACACACAAGCCTACCCTCCCAACCCATGGAGCCAAGGACCGAGAGGAACCACTCAACCCATGCATAACCAAGGAACACCCATGGCTCAGGGAAGTCTGCCGAACAATCTAGGACTTGGTAATCTAAACCTTGGGGCCCTACAGTTTAACCCAGCAATGCTTGCAGCTGCTCAGGCCATGCTTAGTGGTCAGGGTGGATGGGGTCCTGTTGGTCTTGTGAGTCAGGGCAATAACCCTCCTGTCGGAGGTAATGTCACTCCTGTGACCACCACTATTACGGGAGGGGAAACCTCCAGTCAAGCCAGTGTCCAAAGTTTTGGTAGTATAGGCAGCGGTTCAGGGGGCACAATGGGGGCTGCACCACCTATTCCGAATAACAACAGTTTTCTAGGGTGGGGAAGTTCTCAAGTATCAGCTTCTGAAGCAGGAGGCAGCCCAGGGGTGGGTGGCTGGGGAACACCTCAGAGTAAACCCAGTGGTGCATGGAATTAACAAGATGTATGATTGATAGGAAAGTGAATCATTCTGTTAATAGATCATTAATTAGGTGATTGTTAGAAAAATTATATGTGTATGATAAATTAAGGTTTGAAAGAAGGATCATTTATCAAACTCCAATATATATATATATGATCCAGTAAAACACAGGTTGAAAGATGTGGAAGAATTATGCTAATATTTGCAACTCTGATGATGTTGTAACAATACTTTAATTGCAAGTGATGTGATTCATTTTCATTCATGGCGACAATCTAGATGATTATTGGTGTATATTAAGATTGATAAATGATCAGTAATGTAAGTAATTTAAACATCTTGTAAATACTGCATTTGGATGAGAAGAATGTTCTATTCTGATGCCAGTGAACTCACCCAACCCATTCTCTGAGATGTTGCATACATTTGGGTTATTTCCCTTGTATTCTTTGGAAATTTATTGAATGGAAGCTAAAAAAAAATCATGTGGTTTGCCTGCTTAATATAGAAATACATTGTATATAAATGAAATTAAGAAAAAGAAAATTAATTTTTTACATACATAACTTTTACAGTAATATTTAGGATGTCACATTGACAACTGTCCTGTTATTCCAAAAGATTTTAAACACCATCTTAAAAGCTGTGTAAAATCCAGCATTGTTATTGACAACACATGGGACCCCATTCAGGATAGTTCTATAGTCCGGTACTTCATTATAACAGATGTACTGCAAATTTTAACATTTCTTGGTTTCACTTTAATTTGGAAAGATTTTATGGTGCAATATAACAGATTCAAATTTTATAAGTATTAGAATAGAAGAAATAAACAGACTACCAAAAACATGTGCAAATGATTTTTTTTTTTTTGTTGTTGATGAATTTTTATTGTGGAGCAGTTAAGATTCATAACCAACAAATGATAGGAACCGGTCAACAAAACTAATTCATTTTGGAATTATCATGATGGTTATCTGTATGGCTGTGTGATTTTATTGGAACATATATACCAGCATATTTTTTTGGAGATTTGTTTAAAATCATAGTAAAATTTCAAGTAAAATATCATGATATTAACATGATAATTTTGGGGGAAAATCTTGATATATCATGATGTAAAATTTTTGGTGATACTCAACCCTGGTGATCTGTTTATTTCTTCTTCAAAACTTTAGATCCAGATCCTGTAAAATACCACATGACTGGAATCCACTTGTGATGTAATCTTTTGTAATTTATATGAACCTCAAGGTGTTGGTGGCCAGTTCTGAACTTTCTGAATTTTTAAAGTACAGTGTATGTTAAAATTTTTACATTATATAATGAAATGGCTAAGTTAACAAAGAAAGAGCAATTCAAATAGTTTGATTGTTATGATAGTATTAGAAATTGCATGCAAAAGTTTTTAATTAATAGTCACTTTAGCCCAAATAATGAAAACATATATTGCAGATTTCATATGCACACATATTTTTCTGTTAATCATGTTAAAAAGAAACTTTTACCGTCAGAGAAAAGAATTTGATTATTTGTTTATGTGAACAAAAATTAGTGGACTGATTGCTTGTAATAACAACTCAAATTGTGCCATAGTCCAACTGTTATTTTAGGAATGAGAACATGTTCTGTATTGGGTGGACAGAAGAATGGACACATGATGAAATAATTGTGCACAATAATTTTCTATGTATGTTGCAGTTACATATTGTAGATACAAATCAGTGATCATGAAAAAATGGGGAAGCCTTGCATTGAGAAAGTGGCTCTAATTCAAATCATGTTACAACTGGATCACAAAGTTATTGAAGATGGGGATGAATTGAAAAATAATGAATTGTTAGATTGTTTTATATATTAATTCATGTCATCACAGTACTTTGTTTATTAAAATTGGTGTGAAGATTTCTTGTGCTTCTTGTAGTGTGATCATTAGGTAGTGTTTAGTATCCATCTCTTTGTGGTGTTTTCAATTTTACTTCAGTTGATAACTTAAATAAAATATACCTTGTCAATAAATTAAGTCTAATAGATTATCATCATAAGTTTTTATATATATATTTGGGCAACTATCTTTTCTGAAATTTTTGGATTTTTCTGATCTTATAAATGTTTATGTTTTAGTTTATAGTTTTTTTTCTGTTTAATTTATGAGATGAATATTTTTTAAGATGTCCAAGGTGTACAGAATAGTAGCTATATGTGTCAATGTATGTGTTTGGATGTACAGAGTGAGTTTGCTGTTCTATTAGTGTTATTATTACTGTCAAGAGAGGTCTGGCGTATTATGTCATTTTATGCAAGATGTTAAAAGCATATTTAAGAATGTATGAATAAATAAGACTATATGTCTGTAAGACATAGATATATATATCCTTATTTCTGGTTGATTATCTTATATTTTTGCCTGGATACTGTAAGAAAAAGAAAAATAAATGTAAATTTGCCTTTTTTTATGACTTATGTAAAAGATAGTATATTTATTCCAAAAATAGACCTTTTCACTATATAATAACTGACAAGAAGAAAGAAAACAGCAAATTTCCTTAATTTATTATTTTTTATTTGACATTTATATAACTTGCATGTTTGCAAATTAACTTCATTCTAATAAAAACCACAGCTGCTAATAATTGCTTAGACTTTTTATAAGAATTTAAAAATGATAAATAGAGTTTAATTAATCATATTCTTTCTGGAGATAAGTATGTTGAAAATTGGAAATCCAAGCTATCTATGGTAAAAAACTGAAAGCAAAATTTCATTACAGATTATAGAATCTTGATACTTTATGGTTTGGTTGCATATTTATGAGAGTTTGTATATATATAGATGTTACATTAAAATTGAATTTGTAAATGTGGACATCTAGAATTGTTTCAAGATATGAAAATGGCATATTGTCGGTGTAAATTAACCACGTTGAGCATATTTCTGTCACAACTTGCTGAAACACTTTGTATATCGTGCACAAAGCATCCTTTTTGGTAGAGAAGATTTGTTTTGGTGTGTCTCTGTGTTTTCTCTAGATTGTAACTAATATACTGCATAATGCTGTTAACTGTTGTTAATTCAGTACATAAAATGAAGGTTGAGAAAGGGTTGGAATGTGGAGGGATTGCTATATGTTTGAAAAGATTTGTGATGACTCTATATATTTATACGTTTCTGGAAACTTGTTTGTAAGGATCGACAAAAATGTTTTCAACTGAGAATTTGAATGATTTGGAAAATAAGAGGTATTTTATATAGAAGAACAGTATGAAATTTCGTGTTCATAATAAAACCAAACTGTTACTGATTTCAAGGCAGCAAAACACAGCTTGAATGAGGTGGATATATAGAAATATGAAAGGTTTTATCATCCTTTGTTGTTCTTGTTGGGGTGGTCACAAACCAAGCTTATTATGACTACAGCATTAAAAGAGAAAAGCCTGTGTGACAGGGCACTTGACCCACTAATACTGGGTACCAACTTTAGATATTCCAGAATACTAATTGACATTACAAAGAACGCAAAGAATGAACAATGTTCAGGTATCCAAATTTATGATTTGAGCTTTGATCATCTTATAAAAAAAGTAATGATTTATATTTTTGATTGTAAATTTTCTTCTCCCCTCCTCCCTTAAAAAAAGAAACGAATTGAGCTTATATTCAGGAGGAGTTAGGGGCTGTAGTTTGATAATGCAATGGTTTGTCCATGCCTGGCAGTTGTTGAGTGATTTTTTTATATCTATTTATTAGTCTGGATGCCATTGTCTTTGTTGAGGTGTTAAAGAATATATGGAGGCTTGTCACTGTTTTGCCCCATGCAAAAATGTGCACACAAAAATGTCTTTTAATTTTTTAAAGAATTTTTTTTTTTTTGAATTTGAGGAATTCATTTTGAATAAAGAAAGGAATTTTGTGATTGAACAGGAGTTTTATTTATAATTCTGAGCAGAAACATTTTGTATTTCTGAATTCCTTCAGACATTAAAAAGTTGATTCTTTACATAATGCTTATTAACAATAAGCAAGTTACACCCTTGACATTTTTTTTTTGCAAAATTGATCTAAAAAAAAGTATTCCATTATTTTTGGGGAAATAATTTTGGATTATTTTTGATATTGTTGTTAAATTAAGCTGTTAAGTATTAAGTTTAAAAAATAATGCAACTCTTTATTAATCTTTTTCAAGTGTGTAACTTAGGTAATTTGGAGGTGTAATTCGCTTATATTCTTTGTGTGTGTATGTCATGAAGTGTATGAATTGAGTATAATAGATAAATCAGATATATTATCTCTTGAAGTTCTTTTTTTTCTTTGATTAATTGGGAGCATGCACAGATAACTTAAACAAGTCTTCCAAAGCACAGTAATTACCAGTTTGTACTATTTACAAATGAATTATAACGTTTTTGCCTGTTAGCTCTAGTGCTTAATGACGAGAAGAGTGTATGTGATGGTAAGATGTCCGTCCATCTGTCTGTGTGATGACATGGTGAAGATGACAAAGAGTGATCGATCTCAAAAACGTACAAAACAAATTAATCTGTGAACAAGGCATAAATCATGGCCCTGGAAATTCCTGAGGTGGAATGTTGTGCCTAGGAGGAGTAAACATCCCCTGCCGACCAGTCAGACCCACCGTGAGCCCTATGTATTGATCAGGTAGATGGAATAATCCGTAGTTAAATTATGTGTAAAAAGACGTAACAATTGATATGAAATTCGTCTGTCAAAATACAACTCAATACATGTAATAAGTTGTATTTGCTAACAAGCTAAAAGGCCTTTATAGCAACCACAGAATTTACGAAATGCTGACTAAAACCGAGGTTGTTGAAATTCCTATATCTTCAACTTATTTGTCAGTAGGCTGTCTTGATTTAAAAATTGATTATACTCCGAGCATGCTCTTGAGCATCGAATAAGTCTGGAGACATCAACACAATATGCAGATGTTTGTGGAATAATACTACATGAATAAGGAGAGTTGACGACGGAAAAGCTGAGATCATCTCGTTTGATGTACAGTTTAGTCGTTGGATGGCCCTTTTCATCTTTAGTCAGTAAAATATCCAAATATGAAGCAGATGTGGCAAACTCTATGGTTTTGTTAATTTGGAGTTCACTGGGATATGGGTGAATTAAAAAAAAGACCAAACATATATTTATCAATCTGCACGAAAAGTACAGGCAAAGGGAATAAATTTCTGTCTCAGCATATGTCTCTAGATAGTGTATAACTACCTGCCAGATATCTCAATTCACGAAAAGTTATGCTCAAAAATGATACTTAAAATATCAGGAGTACACCACATGTTTGTGAAATTTTGAATTCAATATTTATTGAAGATCTGTGAAATTAATGATAATGGTTTATGGTGGAAATAAAGACTTTCCTGATAATATTCAAAGTATTGAGCTTTAAATGTAGACTGTATGTATTGTAGGAAGTTTTGTTTGACAAATTTGTGGTCATGACTGATGTTAAAAAAAAGTTATACCATGTCAGGAGTGCAACAGAAAAAATGTAGTGTTGCAATGAAATATATGGAGATAACGAACAGTATTCAAGCTCAAAAGTCCATTAAACAATACAATTTTGGAGCAGAGCAAACACGGACCTCTAAAACATCAGAGATGGGATCAGGTGCCATGGAGGAGTGAGCATCCCCTGCCGACAGGTCACACCGGCCGAGTGCTCCTTGTCATGATTGGGAAAGAACAGAAAAATCCGTCGACAATTCAGTGTGTAAATAGTGGCCCAACAGTTAGTATGAAAAACGTCAGTCAGCATTTGACTTAATGATAAATTGTATTTGCTGACAAGGTGTATCGACCATAGAACTTACGAAATGACGACTTTAAACGAGACTGCTGATATTCTTGTTTCATCAACATGTTTGTCAATAGCTTACCTCGTTAGAAATTGTTCATACATAGAGCATGCTCTTGCATATCAAATCAACTGAGAGATATAAACTCCGTATGCAGATGATGAAGGTATATTGCTGCATAAGTAAGGGAAGTTGACGATTGAAAAGTTAAAGTCATCACGTTTATCGTAAAGCTTGGTTGTTAGATTACCATTAACGTCCTTTTCTAGTTAAATATCCAAATATGAAACAGATGTGTCAGATCTGTGTGGTATCTTTAATTTCAATCTCACTAGGATATATCGTGTCGACATAAGAATGGAAATAACCATTGTTAATTGACAATACCTATATATACATGTATATCTAAATGTCGAGATGAAGGCTACAGCAAGTGTTTTCTTCTTTTCACGTATAAGATTTTGAACAAATTCTGCTTCATTTGAATACAAAAATACAGTAAATCTTCTAATAACGGGCGCAATTGGTACCCATATGAATTCATATAGATTGTTGGAAGACCTGGTCTCCAAAAATCAAATAGATATTGTCAATCAGAAACTCGAGCATCTTTTTAATATCAACTTCAGAGTACCTGTGTGTACAATCAGAATGTTTTTTAATAAAATAATTTTGCAAATGACCAATGACAAGTAAGTAAATTTACGAGTTCCATTTTTATTGAAAAAAGCAGCTGTCAATGACATCAAAAAGCCTGTACTTTAATTTATCGTGGGGAATGGTTGTATATAAAGTTGAAAAGTCTTAAGTTTTTATGTTGTTGATTTTGGTAAAATCTTGTGATTTCAAATTTTCCAAAAGTGCCTTGAAATTTTTAAGTATCCACATCTGATTTCTGACCACTTCTCGAATATATTGTTCACAGTACTCCCGAAGTTTCTCCTTCACTACTGTTAATATTTTAGGGAGGAGAAAAGAAAGGGGATAGGTAGCACGTTTACTGGAACCCGCTATGTATCAATGTTTGTAAGGATTTTTATGAAGTTTCGGAATCCTATATAGATATGGTAATTCAAATTCATGTAGGTTGTTGGGAAGATTAAAAACATTCAAAACCCATATGATTTTGAAGAATTTCCTCCTTAGAAAGGGAGCTATGAGTATAAGTTGAACAAATTAAAAATAAAAATAAAAACAAAACATTGATTTAAAAAAAACTGAAAGACAATAAGTCAAAAATTTTTAAAGTGTAAAACAATAACTGACATACAATTTAATTCTTATAGATGTTATACTAGTAAAAGACAAGCAACATTAATTAATGAGAGTCAAGTATCTGTGCATTCCCAATAAAGTCAGGAGTGCAACATTTGATGTTTCGCTCCCCAGCACGAATAAAAAAAAAACTTTTATCCGTATCAGGCTTGGGATAATGTTAAATGTAATGGTAATGCATCGTAATGCATTAATATTACTTGAACTCGAATTATGCTAGTAATGTGTAATGCCAAAAAAATTCATTACATGTAATGTTAATGTAAATAAAAATGGACATGAAAATTATTGTTTTGATAAAATATTTTTTTTTTAAAACAATAGAAATGGATTTTAAAAAGTTAAACTATTTAAATAAACTCTCTGTATCTATTTAAATACACTTAATAATCTGTTGAAAATGCAGTTACCACACAGTAGAATTTTCATACTTAGTCTTATTTTAGATAAGATTTAATTTAAAACTTAGAGTTCTTTAGTAAAATCACTTTAAACAATAATTCTGGTATGAGGTACACTAATTAATGTGCACTGTTAATTGATAATTTTCACTTTTTGAATAGAGTGTCATCAAAACACACAATGCCTCTAGGGTTATCAATTAAAACAATGTATTGTTTGGAGAAGTGATCCAAAAACCAGCCCTTTCTCCTGCATGACTGTGTTTATGAAACATTAATTGAATTGGTCTAGCTTGAGCTGACCATGACAAATCCATTGTATACCATAACAGCAAAAGGAGTTATAGAAGACAGGCATTCTACTTTTAGCAGAGCAAAATGTACATCTATCAAACCCTTTCTATAAGTTTGTAAATGCATTTGATTTTATTTCATAAGGACCTAGATCCGAACAATCTATGTAATATTAATTTAGATAGTTTGGGGAGGGGTTGAAGTGCCCCAAAAGTTAAATTGCTTTATGACATCAATAGTCACACAAAAAGTGCATATTGTATATGTTTTTTTTAACTGAATTGCAACTGAAAAGATTGAACTCCTCAGGAATAATAAAAATATATGTAAGTTATTTACAGTGTAATAAAAACAAGTTCTTGAAATCAAATTTGACGTAACATTTATCAAGTTTAGTTTTGAAGAGCTGGAGAGCGTGTTTATGAAAATAGATGCACAAGTTTTGCATTTCTATTTTCTATTTTTCTATTTCTATTTTCTATTTTTGAAAACCCAAAAAATAATGGTAATGGTAATGCATAACTTTACTGAAGTAATTATAATGTAATGCATTACCTTAAGAAATTAGAATAGTGGTAATGGTAATTTAATGTCAAAATTCTATAAGTAATGGTAATGTTATGCACTACTTTACAATGTAATTCGCTCAAGCCTGATCCGTATATTATTCTCTGATTTATATTTTGGAAAATAAAGATAAAGAACATTTTTACCAAATAGATTTATCAATTACAGGGTGTGTCTGTGTTTCAGATCAATATTTCTATGGTCAGGAGTTAAACACAATTTTTTAAAGATTATAAGATTAAGTTATATGATAAAAAGACTTCTATTCATGCTAAGAAATAATCTTTAATTAATAATGATCTCTTGCATAATTTAGTACTGATAGTTTTATTATTAAAATCCTTCTTTTTTTATTTCATCAATTCAGATGTGTTTTTATCTTTTCTTTGATTCATTTATGAATGTAAAAAAATAAACGCAATGAAAAATTGTTATAAAATTCAAGTAATTCCACCACAACTTCACTGAAACAACAGAATAAGAGTTGATGTAATTTTTGTTTCACGATTCTACTTTAAAAACTCCCATGCTCTTTGTCAGGAGTGCAACAAATATGTTAGAATTATTGCTGATGAAATGTGAATATATGTACAGAAAATAAAGAAATAAAATGATAAGTAGAATGTTTCTGGTTCACATCAGCTGCTTACAGTGTTTGTCCTATGTAGGAAAATTTACTATAAAATACATTTTATAAATATATATTTTAGCTTTTTTTTTTTTTTTTTTTTGTGACATAAATAGGGAATAATTCAAGATATAAAGCCAAGTTCAAATACTTTTATGATATATGGAGATATAAACGAACAGTATTTAAGTTCAAAGTCCATTAAAATGATATAAATCGGGAGCAGAGCAAACACGGACCTCCAAAAACATCAGAGGTGCGATCAGGTGCCATGGAGGAGTGAGGATCAGTGTT